CAAATGCCCCAGCTCAGAGGGAGGTGGGATCAGGCAGAAAGCAGCCTTAGGGGCTGAGGATACAGCTCAGTGGCATAGTGCCTACCTGGCAAGTGCAAGGTCCTGAGTTTGATTCCCAGTACTGAAAACAAAAAAAGGTGGGTTGAGAGAGGGTCATGGCTGCTTGAATACAACTGGGCCTGGGGTTGCTCAGTGCTACCCTGGGGAGAAAAAGACAAGAATAGCACTGGTGGCTGGGATGTCAAACAGCAGCAAGAGTCGATGACTCTCCTTTCGTGGTATACAATACAAATCACTGTGAAGCTTGCTTCTGCCTCCCCTGTCTAGAACAGGAGTCCCCGTGGGGCAGGGAGTTTGTCTTTTTCATCCTCCACACCTACCCTCATGCCTCTTAGGGGCATACTCAGAATTTATTGAATACGTAAGTAAATAGATGGGAAAATGACAGAACAAGCCATTTGCAGCTCCTGTGCACAGCCCTGGGCCTGTGTCAGGGAGCACTGCTGGATGAATGACAGACAGCACTCTCGCCCAAGTTTCCGTTCCATCACCTGCCACCTCAGATTTCCCTTGCAGCCATTCAGTCGTGGGCCACATCAGCCTGCGTTTGTCTCCAAATGGGCCAGAGGCTGTACTCCGATGGCACCGCTCAAATGCAGCCCCTTCATTTGGCTCCTCGCAATGGGGGAACAGGGGGCAGCAAGTTCTTCACTTCTCACAGCAGCCTTCCTGAGAGCTCTTTCTCCAGGGAAACCTTGATCCATGGTGAACGTCTGTGGCATTCCCGGAGCTCTTGGCAAGAGGTGGAAGGAAAGGATGACAGTGCCAAGGAGGCAGCTGAAGGATCGTCACCCTGGGAGCCACAGCTCTGACTTGCTTTTTCCAATGGGCCATAAAGAGTGTGGGAGGTGGGGGAAGAGAAGCAGCACCCGACAGACAGACCCGAGTTCCAGAGCAGCCACCGTGCCAGGCCCACCTGGGGAAGTGGTTACGCACAGTCTGGGGCCATGTGGCTTTGTAATTCCTTCTCTACCACTTGCTGGCTCTACAATGTTAGGCAAAAAAATCTGAGTACTATGCCTCAGTTTTCTTATCTTAAAAAGCATGGATAGGGGTTGCGGAGACAGCCCGGTGGTCTAAGCACCTGCCTGGCAAGTGCAAGAACCAGGGCGTGATCCCCGGTACTGCATGCCATGCCACACCGCGCAGGCGCACCATGCTGGCGCACACCTGTAATTCCAGTGCTGGGGAAGCTGAAATAGGAGGATCACTACAAGTCCGTGTAACAAGACTCTATACCAAATAAATAAGAGATTTTTTAAAAAGTAAAAGCATTGATAATACTAATACATAATAGTAATGAATATTTAGCAGGCTGTATAGTGCATAGGCAGTCCTACATAAATTTCAGTATGTAAAATTAAGCTGGACCTTTGAGTTAGAGCTCCATGAACTTCTTTCTGTAATAAACTCAGCCTTAAATCTCTCTTTCGTTTTCTGTGAGAAGTGAAGGGATGTGTGTGAAAACTATAGCATGTCAAAAGCTTTTTATTTGTCATCAAGATTGCGCAGGAAGCTGGATTTAGCAGGGGGGAGAGAGATGCTAACAGGTTGTCAGTCATCAGTTTCTGATTATCCGCCTTGTTGAGGTCCCTCCTTGTCAGCATCATCAGCTCTTGGCTTGTTCAAATCTTCTGTTGACAAGAGCCAGGCCTCTCATGGCTCCCCCACATACAGTGGGGCAGCTAGCCCAAGGCGCCGATAAAAAGCAGTGTGAAAACAAAACTGGTCCATCGATTCGTACCCAGGGGCAGGCATGCTTCCTAAGAGCAAGCTGTGAGAGAGGGGCCTGGCACCTGCACAGCCCGCTCAGTTTGGGCAGGACAGAACGAGAGGGTGAAGGCTAGTTACTGAGCTTCTCTGAGTCTCAATTCTTCTATTCAAAATGGGAATAATTATGCTAATTCAACAGGTGAAAAGCAATGTGATGTATAAATTCATTGGTATATGGCTGATGTATTGAATGGCAGTTGGCATTTGGTAACATTTTTGCATCTTCTGCACACTTACCCCTTCCTGGGATGGAGAAGTAATGCCACCTTCCAGGCTAGAAAGGGGTGGTCACAGAAAGTGATTTAAAACTATGATTTTTTTCACATTTTATTTTCAGAGTACAAAGTGCTGACCTATCCATCCATCTGTCCATCCATCCATCCGTCCATCCATCCATCCACCCATCCAACAGATGTTTACCAAGTTTACATGACTTGCCATTATCTCATTCATTTGTATTTGTCTTGCTCTCACCACCAGGACTGCAGGGTCAGGAGGGCAGGGACACTGTCTGTTGCCAGATGAGAGGATGGATGGAGCTCTAGGTGTGTCTGAAGATGGTGAGGGTCTGGGCAGGGAGGTGGCGGCAAGCTGCCTGGATTCTGGGTCAGTTACACCTCCAAGGAACTAACTTTCCCTTTGCCTGGAGCCTTTGCAGACCTTCCATCAACTGAGAGGCACTGCAGTGTCACTTGCAACCAGACCCAAGGAACAAGTCCCCATTCACCCATTATATCTCTGAAGCCCTAGAAGAAAGGTCCAAGCTCTCTAAACTAAGGAGTACAGCAAGTGGACAAAATAACAGCAACTATAGAAAAAGACTGGTAGCCTCATAATATTTAAGAGAAGGAAACTCAAGAGACATGCCCAAGGCACTGTTTTCATGGGTACTAAGTGTCCCACATGTAAGTCATACCTGCTTTTATTTTGTGTTTGTTTGTGTTTGAGGGCCTATGTAATTTAGACCATCATTGAACTCACTATGTAGCCAAGACTGGCATTGAACTTGTGACACACCTCCTGCCTCAACTTTCCAGGGTATGCGCCACCAGGCCCAGCTCATTTTGTTTTGTTTGCATTTGGAGACAGGGTCTTGCTATATAGTTCAGGTTGGCCTTCAACTCACTGTATAACCCACACTGGCCTCAAACTCAAGCCAATGCTCCCACCTCAGCTCCTGAATGTTGGGATTACAAGTGTGCACCCCCACACTTGGCAGGCACACCTGTTATTGACCACGGGCCTCACTCCGTATGATCCAGGCTGTCCACAGACACAAGAGAAAAGAGGAAGTCATAATTCCAAAAAGGCAGAAACAACCCAATGTCTACCAGCTGATGGACCAATAAACAAAATGTGGTCCATTCATATAACAGATACATTTAAGCTCCAAAAAAGAATGATGTACTAATACATGGTTCCATATGTATAAATCTTGAAAACACGAAGGAAAAGAAGCTAATCTCAGAAAGTCACTCCTGGTATGGTCCATTCCTGTGGCAGTCCACAGTGGGAACACTCTAGAGAAAATAGCCTGGAGACTGCTCAGGCTGGATGGAATATGAAGAGGTAAGAAGACAGCTAAAGGGTACAAGGCTTCTTTTTGAGCTAATAACGAGGTTCTAAAATTGATTTTTTAAGGGTTACACATACCTGTCAGTAAACTAAAACTACTGAATTATATATTTCCAATGGAATTGTATGATATGTGAATTGTATCCAAAGAAAGTTTTAAAGCAGGGGAGGGCAATTGAGAAGAAGCAGGAAGGCCATGATCAGAAACAAAGCCCAGGCACGGTCTGGACTGGCTGCCCCCCAACTCAGAGTTTGCCTCTCATCCAGGCACTGTTATGGTAGCCCCCAAGCCATGACTCGAGAAGATAAATTGACCCCAGAAGGTACGGGGCTGGGTCCCTTCTCCTCTGACAGCTCCCTCTCTGTGTTTTCTCTGGCACAAGAAACATGCTGTCTTCTTGTATAAATAGGGGAAATTTATGACATCTTTTCCCCAGCTCCTCCCTGGTGGGCTACCAGGAAAAGCCTAGAGGGAGGAGGAGCCTCGGATTCCAAATGTGAATGTGGAAAGACCAGAGGGAATCCGAGAGATTTCTTTGCCTGCTTTGGCTCTGGCCGCAGCTCTCCTTTCCCTCGTCCCTGGACCATCTGGTGATGAGCAGAGGGAGGAGAGAGGTGCAGCCACCTTTTCTCCAGGCTCAGGGGAAACAGGTCTCTGGGCAGATATCCAATGGGAGGAGAGTCAAGATGTGGTTTGATTGGTGCAAGCTCTCTTGGAGAAGACAGATTCTTCTGACCAGAGTTGGTTATTTTTGTACCTCCTCATTTGTTGATGGGGTGAGAAAAGAACTTGACTTAGATTCAGAAAACTTATCAGAACGACATGTGTGACCTTAAGTCACATCCCCTCTCTGGACCTCATGTGTGAAAGAAAAAAGACAACAGATTGCATTTATCATGGTTTTTTCAAACCAGCTTTAGCTGCAGGGCCTTTCTTTTTTTTTCAAAGTTTTGTTGAAAACAGGGCCTTTCTTAATAAAACTTTATGTAGTGACTCGACACGTACAATGGTAGCCTGCCAAGCTTCACGAAGGTGGGAATGGAAGGTGTGTGGGATTCAGTGGTTACTGTCAAGAGCTGGCCCAGTATGGATGATCTCCTAAGTTCCCACTAGCTGTGTCCCTGGAAGAAGATCTGGCTCTTGGGGATGAGTGTAACCCCACTTTTCCATCATGTGTCCATTGGCACCTTACTTAGCTATGTTAGGCCTGTTTTCCTCATTCGTAAGTTGGAATAAGTGGGGCCTGCCCCTTAGCTCAGCTCTTTAAGTGGCTGCTTCAACAAAGCAGTCAGCCTCAGGTGGCTGTGGTTCGATCCCCACAACTCCAGCCAGCCAAACATGCCCTGAAGGCATTCGGAGCCAGCACCCCACCCCCCAAAAAAAATCCCTCTGGAATAAGTAACATACCTTAGAGAAATGTCATGAGATGATATTCAGTAGTGTACTTAGGGACCTTAGTGCAGTATCTAGCTCAGTAAATTCTATTAGCATATTTATTTCCTGGAATCCTTTTGGTGACTGTGAATTGGCAGGTTTGTGAGGAAAGGTGATAGCAATGCTAGTATAACACAAAGGCCCCCAAACACACTAGCAAATAGAAAATGATTTATTTCTCATAGAACATTTTGGAAGGAAGCAATCTTGGATACAGTCAACTCTGCTCTGTATGGCAGCTGGGGATTTAGGTTCCTTTCATGTTGCTCCTTTGCTCTTCTTTGAGATTTCTCCTCAAGTGCCTTGGTCAAACTCAGCCTTGCGTTCATCTGGCCAGCACATGAAATGGGGAATAAAAAGACTTTACCAGTGTCCTCAGGCTCTCATTCCCTGCTGGCCTTAGCTGGTAGCAAGGGGTGACTGGGAGATGGATGTCTGTCAGGGTTGCTCTCTGCCCTCCTACAACAAAGAAAGAAGGGATGTTAGTGGACCACTGGCCATCTTCATCCAGGGCTCAGACCCACACTTCTGCTATCTTTTTTCCACAGAAAGAGAACTAAAGGCCACAGCCTAATGTGATCCCAATCTGGTCTCTGCCATTCATCCCAGATCAAGTGGAGGCCTCCATCCTCACTGCTTGCCTGGCACTCCCTCTCTCAGTCTCACTCCACTTCCTGACCCTTTTGTTCTCACCACTGGTGGTACTACAGGAATGACTGAACCAGAAATTGAAGAAGAGATCAAGGAGGGGAGGCCACACTCAGCCAGCGGGCTGGGTATGAGATCTGGTTCTAGGAAACCCAGCCACCGACTGTGTGACCATGGATAGTGCCACACACCTGTAGTGCCAGCACTCGGGAGGCTGAGAAGGGAGGACTGCCATGAGTTCAAGGCCAGCCTGGGCTACATAGCAAGATCCTATCTCAAAAAAGCAAAGAAACAAAACAACCTATGTGGGCATTAAACATTCTGAACTTCAACTGAAGTGGGCATTAAAGACTTGTCAGAATTGTTGTGAGGATTAAATGAGATAATAATGTACACACCTACACAAAGTATGTCCTCAGCAAATGCTAACCAACTTTATTTGGTGCCAGCAAGGCCAATCTTATTCATACCCTCTGCTCTTACCCAGCCTTTTGTATGGGTCCTCTTTTCCTCCCCTTCTTTGCCAGTGAATGACTCCTTCCCATCCATATTATTATTATACAATACCAAGGACTGAACCCAGGGCCTTGTGCACTTGGGGCAAGTGGACTGCTCTACTATTAGCTACAGATCCAGCCTTTTTGTCTTTGCTTTTGCAATAAGGTCTCACTAAATTGCCCAGCAGGCCTTGAACACGTAATCTTCCTGCCTTAGCCTCCTGAGTAGCTGGGATCATGGCCATCTGTCCCTCCCTGAGTCTTTATTTTCTATCTTCATTTCTTTTCCCTCTGAACCCGACTCATAATCTCTTCCTCCAGGAAGTCTTTCCTGACTGAAAAAATTTTCAACCTCTCGCCCCGCTCCCCAGCTTGCAGCTGCACCATGATACTGGCCTGGTGCTTGCCCCAAGTTCACACCTGCCCCTCCCCTTCAGAAAGTCCCAACTCCTACTGTAAAAAGTGTGCAGTGTGGAAAAGATGAAGATTTGTTATCATGAGTCAAATAGTCCCATGACCAAAAAACAACAACAACAACAAAAACTGTGTGTGTTTTTTCCTGTTTAAAAAAAAAAATCAGAGCTCTTACTCCAATGCTACTAACACACAGATTCATGGCACCCCAGGTCACTCCTCTGTGGCTCTGTCCCTCCCATCCTCAGGTGGGTGGGGCTGGAATACAGAGAACAGTGAGTACACATCAGCCTCCCCAGGTCCACACTCTGTCCCAAAGGGAGATACCAGACCAAGAAAGTGAGTTCCTTATCACCCCTACCCCACCCCAGGAAGAAGTGACTTCCCCCTGGAAGTCCATGGCCACCCAGAGGGTGCCACCAAAAAAGAAAGAGCTAGAGCAGAGGCTAGGGACAAACTGGAGCTCCCCAGCTACAGGAGTTACAGGCCCTGAATGGAGCCCTAGGGCAGGACTAGACCCAGGGAGGGGTGACGGATGTGGGCAGATCACAGTCACAGAAACCAAGTGAATGAACTCACATTTATTGGCCACATCCATGTAACAAGCACTTCATCTAATACCAAAGGAGTCCCTGAGGTGGATTCTGTTTTTACTATCCTTGTTTTACAGGCCAAGAAACTAAGGCAGACAGAAAAGGTAAGCAATTTGTTTAATGTCACAGGTGACACAGTTTCAGAACCCCTCCTCCAAGTGGGCTTTGAACTACCAGCAATATGCTCTTCACAACCTATTTTACACCAGGGCCCACGATCCCTCTCCTTCTCCCACATCCCCTAAACTTTCCTGTCCCTCTTCCTCAGCCCTCATCCACCCTCTCCACAGCTCCTGAAATTCAGATGAATTTCACATGACAGAGACCCTCCGACTTTTCCCAATCAGGCCCCTGCTGCGCTTGATGGCAGCCCCCCGGGTGGGGAGAGACCCCTCGGTGGCAAAGCTGGACAGCCAGAGATATAATCCTCCTCTGCTCCCCTGGCCCTCTTCCCATCACTCATCTGGGAATCCAGGGCGAAGAAAGGCGCTAAAGTGCAGAGTGTTCATTTAATATTAACAAATTGAAATGAATTCTTTTAATGCCAATTAACTTGGAGCGGCCCCTTATTAATAGTAATTTAGATTCATACTTGGGAGAAGCAGGGACGAGGGCTGGGCCAAATGCGCCCAGAATGTCAATGTGACAGGGGGTGGGGGGCTAGAGGATGGGAGGGGGAGCAGCAGTTTTACTTCTGCCCACTTGGGTTCTGGTTCCCTGAGAGGAACAAAGTCACCAGAGACAGATCTTCTTCCAGGAAACATGAATTACTGTTGCAATTTTATTTTATAGCTGCAAAGGATCTGAATAGGTTGAAAATATGCCACACAATTTTAATAGTTTACCTTCATGGTAATGCTAAATAGGGAATTCTCTCAGACTGGGGATTTACCCCCAAACTTCCCTAAGTCAACCCTCTCTGGCAGAGTCCCCTGCCAACTCTCTACCCTTTGTTCAAAGACAGAGCCAGAACTGAAAAGGGGTCCTCTGAGCCCTGTCACTTTCAGAAAGCAGCATCATTTGCCTCTTCTGGGAATTCTCCCCCAGGAGGAAAAAGACCCAACAGGCTGATCCCCTCCCACACACAGCAGCAGCAGCAACACCAGCTTATACTGAAGGGAAAAATAAAATCTGCTCATATTTTTCTTACAATTTAGGAAAAAGATAAGAATTAAAAATTCAACTTTGTATACCAGACAGTTGCCCATAATTAGACCAAATGGCAAGAACTTAGTCCTGAACTAAAAAGTTGAAAGCAAGGCTGTTGTCACTGCTTTTGTCCTTGGAGAGTTGGGACTGGAAGAATCCAGAACTCAACTGAGCACAGCCTCTGTCCCCACCAAGGACATTTGCTGGGTCCCACCCCACTCTACCCCACCCCACCCCACCCCCAGGGCTGGAAGAAGAGGAGAGGCTGGAAATTGTGGAAGGCGGCTGGGGGTTCTGAGATGGAGAAGGCCTTGTGCAAAGAGGACCGAGGATAAGAGGGTGAGGAAGGACATGTGCAAAAGTATATTTATAAAATACCTTTAGAAATGTTTTAACATACAAACGATGAAATAGAAGTCAAGTTTTTAAAAGGAGGCAAAATAAATCAAAATTGAGACATAATAAAAATAAGGAAACGTATAAGACATTTCAGGCAATTTTTTCTTCATGGGGGAATAGGGGCTGGAATAAATCAAAGAGCTTGTTCTTACCCTCGGTTCCCCAAACAATGAATTCATTTACAAAACAAAAAAGAGGAACAACACAATACTAAAACCCAGTCCACACATAAGGGGAAACAAATCCTGCAAAAATTCTGTAACCCAATTAACTGGGGAAGAGAGAGAGAAAAAAAAAATGGAATTTGGGAAGTGATTATTTGGAAATAGGAGAGAGAAAGGAGGTGAATCTGGCATCAATAAAGGCTTAAAACTTGCAAATATAGAAAGTCTAATTCATCCCAAAAGAAAAGTAAACTTTCCACAAGTGGAAAGCTTTTCTCCATGAGAAAGGATGATAAAATTATGAAAGAGGAAAAAGTACCACTCACCCCTGCACCAAAGTATTTTAATCTGAATTTAATTTTCGACCAATTTAAACTGGATTACACAAAAGAACACAAGTGGGTTCTTTTTATTCCAACTAAGAGAAAAACAAAACTGCCTCTCAGTTGTCTAATGGGGCAAGAAAGGAGGCATACTTTGCAGGTGCCAGTAATGAGCGGGTGGGGCTTGAGGATCAAGGAGCAGCTTACCTCGCTCTGGGGCGGTGGCGGCCAGATAGGAGTGGGCGAAGGATCCCGCTGGTGCCTGCAAGTTAAGGGAAAGGAGCGCCTGCGGAACCGGGCGCCCCCCGACAAATGAGGGTTGGACTGGGGGTGCCTCTCTCCCGCGGCACCTAGGCCTAGAGAGCTACTGAAAGTTACAAATTGCTGCCATTATTAGCTCATCCAGGGCAGCCTGGTCATTGGCCAGCCTCTGAGCACGTGGTCCTTCGCACCAATCGATAGAATTTCTAGTTGCAATTTTCTGTCTGTCCCTGGGCTCTGGGGAGGGAAAGGGTGAGATGGGGTGGGGTTGGGAGGGGCTGAGGGGCGACCCGCTCTCTCTCTTTTCGCCAAGTGAGGGTCCTGCGCGCCGCCAGGGTTGTTGTGGGGTGGGGCACACCCAGGAGCGCAGGAACTGGAGGAAGGAACACCAACGCGAAGACCCAGTTCCCGGGCCGCCCGGCCGCGCTCGCCACTCCCTCTTTAGGACCCGCTCCGTCCCTCACCGTCCCGGGGCCCCGCAGTTTACCCCGAGACCCGGGACGCCAGGATGCTCTCTCTGGATCACCAATTCGGTCCCTACCGTGGGTTGGTTCGCCCACCCTCTGCTCAGCCCGGGCACCTTTAGATCAGGCACCCTCAAAGGCCTCCGCCTTGCCCCCTCCCCAAGGGCCGAGGGAGCGCCCCTCCTGGAAATGCCACGCGAGGAGGACAAACTTTTGAGTGGATCCAGAAGAGCCAGTCCTGGAGCAGGTGAGTTGGACCTGGACGGGTGCGCTTTACTCTGAAAACGATCAGCTTCATCCCATCTGTCTCCCCTTCCTCTTCCTAATCCCATTTCCCCTGTGGGCAGACACGAACCTACCGACCCCGCAGGAATCTGGGCTGGGGTGGGCGTCCGTCAGATGCTGGGGTCAGCACTTTATCTTCTGAGTTTGGGCACTAAGGTGGTAGCTGGCAAGGCAGGAGGGAGAGTTGCTTCAGAAACTGAGGAAGAAGGGAGGGTTTGGGATTGAGGAGGGATTCTACGAGTCGCCAGGACACTCCTTCCTTAATGCAACTTTCAGGAACTTCAGAAGAGTTTACTGAAGAGAGCTGCAGAAGGCAACAGTGTTGGAGTTTTGAAGTTTTAAGTGGGAGCGAGGAGACCCAGCTTCCCGTACTGGTGGTAGAGTTTGGCGGTTTCCCACTCGGGACTAGTTACCCACGAAGAAAGGGCAGGTCCCAAACCTGCTTACCCTCGGCGAGCCCTTAGAGACACTTGGAGGTCCTCGAGGGGGTCTGCGCAACGGAAGGGATGGAGGACTCGCGGAAGTAGCAGCTCTTAACTCTGCCTCTGCCGTGATGGATGGGTGGGTGCGTGGGTGGGCCGGCCCCAGTCTCAGCCCAGGCTGCCTTGGCCCCTGCAGTCCTGAGACATTTTGCTGGTTTTAAGTTAGGAGTAGCACAGGTAACAACTCCCAAATACCACTCTCCCATCCCAGTTTGACTCGGGAAGCCTTTTGGCTACAATGGAGCCAAGGGTGTGTCCCACTTTCTGCGCACAGGACAACGGTCCTACTTTCTTCAGGACTAGAGGGAGGGCAAGAAGAAGAGGCTCTTGCCCCTCTCCGGCTGAAGTGCTCCTCCCCAGGAGAGGCGGGAGGAAGGCGGAAGGGAGTCTCTTCAAATGGGGAGGGGGAGGATGACCCGGAGGATGCAGCTGAACTTGGGGGCCAGGAACCCCGGGCCGAGGACGCAGGTGGCTGCAGGTGCACCGCGGCCCGGGTCTGGAGCGGTGGCGCCGGCCTCTGGGCAGGGAGGCCCAGCTGGAGCCCACGCTGCAGGGCGGAGCGTCTGCGCCGGGGGTGTCCAGGGCGGCCTCTCCCAGGTCACCCCCAACTGGAGAAGTCAGGGCGGGGGCGGATGATGCTTTCGATTGCGTTTTGGATCCCGGGAGAGAAGATTCCCAAGTCCAACGCGTGGCGTCCCTGGCCACGACGGGCCAGGCTGGCGCCTGCAGAGGCCGCTGAGCTGTGCGTCTGGAGCGGCAAACCCACCCTCCGAGTCTTTGTTTTCTCTGCCCCTGAGAATTTTCAGCCATCCTTCCGCGGTGTCCTGGCACCTGCTTCCCGACTGACCCGGAATTGGGTCCTGGCTGAACGGTTTAGGAAAGGCAGCAGCTGGAACTGCCTGGAGCAAGTTTGTAGCGGTTAACTCCCCCCATTAGACCTTTGAGAAGGACATGCCTCGGGGCAGACATTAAAACCACTGATAGGCCAGGGATATGGCTCAGCAGCACCTGCCTGACAAGCGAGCGCAGGGTCCTGAGTTTGATCCCTGGTACCATAAAACAAAACAAAACAAAAAACAACAACAAAACCCATTGATACCCAAAGCCAATCTAGCCCTTTCCTTCCCTTCCATCGCCTGGTTTTTTTACACCTCTACAGCCTTTTGGCTGTCAGGCCTCATATGTCCCCATTCTGCCTTTTTTTTTTTTTCCCCCAGACTGCCCGACTCTGGGTGCTCTAGAGAGGGCACCTGGTCCCAGGCTTTGCCCTCTCTCCTGATGATACATCTGGTTCTTTTCGCTCCTGCCTCCCCATTACCGTTCCCACTCCATGGCATAGATCTGTACCATGGTCTCTTTCTCTTTAATTTCACCCCCTTCTTCTTTCCTCTTAGGATTGCTGGCATTTGGCAAGGCTTTCCTAACCTTGCGGGGAACTGTGGTTTTCAGCAGGAGGAAACAGCCCACTCTCTGAGCCCTAGAGATGAAGGCCCAAGTTGAGGAGAATTGAGAAAGGATGTCATGAAGGAGCTGGGCTGGGACAGGACTGAACCCTCCTCCGAGGGGCAGTTTTATGCCACATGCCTATTGCAGTGAGGCGGTTTAGAAACGAAGGATGATAGGGAGAAGACCCAGGAAAAAGGCTGATAGAACTGGAAGAATCCAGAACAACAGAGAAGAGACCGGGAGAGGTAGAGACATGAGAAAGTGCTGGAGCCAGAGGAAGGGACAGGAAGGGAGATGGCTAGGAAAGGAATATGGAGAAAGGAAGCATGAAGGGGCAGGATTTTTTTAAAGTGAAGAATAAAAACTGAAAGAAGAAAGACTAGGAGAGAAGGGGAGGTAGAGAAGAACGGGAAGGAAAAGAAAGCGGCAAAAGGGAGGGGAAATGGGAGAGAGAAAGAAAGGCAGCAAGGGAAAGACAACATAGAGGAAAGACAGGATAAGGAAAAGGAGGAGGGGAGGGAAGAGTATAAAGAGAAAAAGTGAAGGCAGGGCAAAAAGAATCCCCCCCTAAAAAAAATAAAAGAAGGAAAAAAGAAAGATACAGAGAATAAAGAGGAAGAAGAGAGCAAAAGAGAGGGGAGAAGAGGAGAAAGAGAAAAAATGGAGTTCTGATCCAGGGTGACAGCTGACACTTCACAGAGGCTGACGTCTACCACCACTCTGCCAGCCCAGGTGCCAGCAGCCTGACAACTGGCCTGTGTGACCAGCCTGCAGCCAGCTGACCACCCGACTGATCCGCCAGGTGGTGGAGGCCCAGGCCATCACCTGAGAGTCACTCTGACCAGCTGAGGGAGCTGCAGAAGGATTTCCTCCCACCGCAGCTACCTGCTAACTGCTTGCCCTGGCTTGGGCCCAGCAGCTGCACACCTTCTGGCTCCTTGATAATCAGGTTATGACCCAGCCTTGATGTAGAGAAGTCACGAGGGAGGGGCTGGGTGTGCATTCTCTCCCTCTGGGACCCCTCACTGGTAGCTCTGAGGACAGGCTGCCTGGGCAGCCTTGTTCCTAGCTCTGCAGTACTCTGGCTCTGTGACCTTGAGCCTTAGTTGGAGCATCTGTTAGAAAAGCCCTGTGCCCTGGAGGGTTGTTCTGCATTTTAGTTAGCCTTTCCAGTTAGGCTGTCTGAATGGGCATCAGTAAGAGGGAAGAAGCTAAGGCCTGCTCACTTGGGGTATGGGGAGGATCTTGTCTTCTCCCAGTGGTAAGAAAAGTTTTCTAACCTTGGCAAAATCTTTGCTACCCTCTGTATCTGCTTTGGAAAAGTACTTTCCAGGTCAAAGGGTTTCTCCATGCCAGGAGAAGCTGGATTCATCTGGAAAAACCTTGGCCTGAGTGTGCAAACATTGGAAGAGCCAGAGGGGAAAAAAGTAGATGAAAATGAAGACAGTCCCTAGGTGGAGAGCAGACCTTAGGTTTGTGGTGTATTTTACAAAATTCACACGAAGAGATAAACTGGCAGAGTGATTTTTTTTAGACGCAGCCTATAGAGAGGATCACCTCAGGTCCTCGAGCATCTGCTGCCTTCCAGGCCTGCGCTCTCGTGCCCTGCTCCTGTGCCCCAGTGGTGACTGCTCAATTTGATTCAGACTTCTTGAATCCAATTTAATAATCCTGTCTCCCCAGAGTGGGATTGGGGCTGGTCACTCAGCTCAGCCATGTATTCTAAGACAATGTAACCCTTAAAAATAGGTGGGGGGGCCCTAAGTCAACAGCTGCAGGGGCGTGAGGGCCCGTGTTTTAGTATAGTGCTTGCAGTGCTCTCTCTGGCAGGCCTCTGTCTAGTACTTCTTATGCTTTTCTCCCTGTCTTTTCTCTGGCTTCTTCATTTTTATCATTCTTTCTCTGCTCTCTCCCTTTCTTCCTCTCACATGCTCTTTTTCCCTTTTCGTTTACTCCATGCTGGGAGAGTCAAGCTACTTTTATATTCCAGAAGGTTTTGCCTCAAGACCTTCAGGGTAGCCAACACATGCCTCCTGCTCTCAAGAGTTCCCTATGTGGATGTAAGTATTAGGGTTTGGAAATGAGGGGGTAAATGGGAGAGTAAGCTTTGCTGCCCAGGTGCAGGATGAACCAACTTGTCTTTTTTATTGATCATTGTTATGACCTTCACATTACCTTGATTCTGGCCTATTCAACTGGCCTGTCCCTACTCCTGGGAGCAGAGCTGCCTATGGCCCCAAAGCTGTTACTCTCAGAGTGAATGAGGTCAGTGATACTAGTTTAGAAATTCAAACTCTTACATAAGCAAAGTATATTTTCCTATTCCCAGTGCATGGAGGGGCTTCTTCCCCTTGGATGGAGACACTGATTGATTCTGGCTCCTGAGCATCTGTCCACAGATCACCCCCCCCCCCCCGATTATCCAGGCCCACTGCCATCCACATCTGCTGAGCA